AGCTCGGGGACTGGAGTCTGGGCGGGCCAGGGCCAGGGCCAGGGCCAGGGCGTTTTCCGGATGCGGGGCCAGGCTGTGAGGAGGGATCCACGTTTTCCCGAGTGGAACCAGGTTGGGGCCTGCGCTCAATGTGTTTCCTGAGGAACATTTGGCCGAATCCTTTGATGTCCCTCCCGGAGGGGACAGAGCACAGATGTGTCGGGGGTGCGGCGGCGGCTGCGGCGGGAGCCAGGGTGTCCCGTTGGTGCTCATTTGGGGGTGCTCCCCCCACAGCTCCCCCTTTCCCTCGTTGAAGCTCCATTCCCCTGGTGGGAACAGGGAGGCCCGGAGCCAGGCCTCTGGAGCCGGTGGCACTGTCAGCCTCCTGTCTGTCCACGGGTGTGTCCACTCTCCTTGACCTCGGCGGCTGTGGACTGGGCCGGTGTGTGGTCACTGTGCCTGCGAGTGAAATCAGCCACGTGAGGCTGGGCCCGTGGTGGCTGCACGTGGCGGATGCCAGAGTCCCTGCTGAGCTCAAACCACGTGTCTGTCTGGCACCATCAGCTTCCTTATTGTTAGGACAGACGGACAGGCTGCTGACAACAGCACAGGACAGAGCCGAGGTGCAGTGTGCGCGTCCCGCGGCCCAGCCGTCGGCCCTGCCGCTCACGTCACCCAGCCGGACGCTGGCCCTCCCAGCAGACACGGTGACGGTTCTTGAACAGCCTGGCCAGTGTGGCTCAGTGGCTGAGCATCGCCCTATGAACCAAGAGGTTGCTGGTTCGATTCCTTGTCAGGGCACAGGCCCGGGTTGCGGGCTCCATCCCCAGAGGTGGGCATGCAGGAGGCAGCCGATCCATGATCCACTCTCATCATGGATGTTTCCCTCCCTCTCTCTCTCTCTCCCTTCCTCTCTGAAATCAAACTCGAGTGCCCACCCCGTCTGCCTGCCGCCCCCACCAGCAGCCTCCTGGGCCGAGCCTGGCTGCGGATGCGGACAGGGCCTCCGTCCTTCCTGTCGCCCCGGGAGCCCGCAGCCGCGAGCAGCGCTGTCCTGGGTAACTCCTGCCTCTGGTCCTCGCAGGCATCGTGCGCCTGAGAGATGGGCTGCGGGACCGCTACCCCGTGGAGGACTACCTGGACCTCTTCGACCTGGCGGCGCACCAGATCCACCGGGGCCTGCAGGCCGGCGCCGCGGGCGACCCGGGCAGGAGGAGCCGCATCGTCATCGGTAAGCAGCTCGGCCGCTCAGCCCGGGGCCGTCCCGCACCTGCGCCCAGGGCATGACCCTGATGAGCCCGTGTCCCCCTCCCGCCGTCCCCTCGCCCTGGGTGACACGTCCTCGTCACCTGCACGGTTTCTCTGAAGCAGACGTGCTGGGGGCCTCCTGGTTCCGTGGAGACTCAAGTGCAGCTGAAATGGCTGTTTTTAAGTTGCCGTTTCTTTGTTCCTGTTCTCACGAAGGGCACAGGCCTGTCTTCTCTAAATGTCGAACCCGCCTGCTTTGGACGGGGTCACAGTGCCATGAAGTGATTAGTGTGGCTTTGTAATCCCCGCCGGGACCCGGAGAGATGGGCAGCCTCTGGCACAGCCCCGGCCGGGACCCAGGGAGACAGGGGCAGCCTCTGGCACAGCCCCGGCCGGGCGTCCTTGCCAGCGAATCGCTGTTAGAAAGTGGCCCTTCTCACGGTGCCTGAGAGGCCAGAGCGCGGTGCGATGCGTGTCATGGCTTTCGCTCACGAGCACGTGATGCGCTGTCAGAGCACATCCGCTCGCTGTGTGTGGGGAGCAGCTCAGGACATTTGTCCCCACGTATCTCCTGGAAGAGAGACATCGAATCACACGCTTTGCCTACGTTGGCAGGAAACCAGTTTTTAAAAATGTCCTGAGTCTGTTAGATTTTGAATCTCCAAATTCAGTGACTGTTAGCAGCGACCGGGAGCGATTGTAACCGGCCCTTTGAACGATGGGTCTTTACTTAGGGTTCTCTTGTCCAACCTGCCCAAGTCCTGACTGTTTTGTTTTTAATTTTAGCTCAAATCCAAGTCCTGGGAGCCACAGGAGAGCATACCCCTCGCTCCCAGCCTGGATTGGCTACTCGCTATATTCTTACAGCCCTGGGGTCCCAACACCCCAAACCACAAGCCTCATTGCTATTTGACTGTGATTCCCACCCCGTGTGCCTCTAGGAAGGTCTCATGTTCTTATGCAAAAGCCAACAATGTGCCTGCCAGGGCCCGGGAAGGGAACCCGAGCTAATGAATGAGACGGAAGCCTCGGCTGGGCTTCCTGATGTGATTTACGTCTTCGTTTGGAAAGGAAGAGTGAGGAGCAGATAGGCTGCTCTGTCCTGACCCAGAGCAGAGCGTGGTGTTCTACGGTAGCGGAGAGGCGGGGGGAGCTGGCGTCCAGCCCTGCTCATGTACCGTGTGCCGCGTCTGTCTTCGTGGTCTTGACCTCAGTCTGCACATCTGTAAAATGGGCTTGTTGGACCAGATCCGTTCTGGGCTCCTCCCAGCCCTGAACGGTGACTCAGCTCTGCCCCGGTTGGAGCCTGGCTAGAGCTATAGGCTCTTTCTTTCTCTCAGCCCACAGTCAGGGGGGCCTTTCCTCTGTGGTCTGGGCTGAAGGCTGGCGTCACCAAGGACGTGAGTGGCCGGGGTCATTGGAGCGGGGGCTCTAGACACATTGAAAGGTGCTGCCTCTGCCCTCGGCCCCTGCTCCGCCCTGTCAGAGAGCACCCGGGGCTCTGAGTGCTGACCTGTCGGTCTTGCTCCAGATCCCGTCTGAGAGAGGAGGGGTATCCGTCCTGTCTCCCTGATCTGTCTCCAACGCCAAGTGCAGTGCTGGGCATCTATACACACCAGCTGGATGCTTTCCGGATGGGTGGGTGGGGATGGGTGAAGGATGAATGGATGGATGATGGGTGGGGATGGGTGAAGGATGGATGGATGGATGATGGGTGGGGGGATGGACAGGTGGGTAGACAGTGCTTCTTGCTTGTAGAGCCAGCTCGTTTGTGACATCTGGCAGAATCTGTGCATTTTATCTAAGATACTCGCCTTGTCCTAATAGCCCCTTATTCACTGTGAGTGGAACTTTCAAAGGACTCTGTCTTTCTGTATTCTGTGGCTTTTCTCTTAAAAAAACAGAACAGTTCCCCGGGAAGGACTGAGGGGAGGCGGCTGGGTGGGGGTCTAGGGAGTGGGCGTGCCGGACCCCAAGCCTGAGACAGAGGTCCCGGGAGCTGGACCTGAGCCCGAGACGGGGGTCCCGGGAGCCCCTCGGAGAGCCGAGAACTGTCCGTGGGGCTTCCTGGCGGAGACGATGCAACTGTGCACGTTTCCTAGTGGGAATCAGCTCCCAGCATCCTCCATCCCCGATGCGTCCCTTCATCCCTGAGGGAAACCACCTCGTCCGGGCTCCGCGGGCCCGTCCATGCCACAGACTGTGCACGGCGCCGCGTTAAACAGCGTGGAGTCGGGAGGCCGGCTGCCGGTGGAGGTTTGGGCACGTCCTGCAGGGACGAGCGTGGGAGGCACGCGCATGCTGCCGGGGTCACCGTGAGGTCCAGATGGAGGTCCTTTTTTAAAAATACAGTTTTATTGATGTCAGAGAGGAAGGGAGCGGGAGAGAGAGAGAAACATCCATGATGAGAATCATTGATCAGCTGCCTCCTGCACGCCCCCCACTGGGGATGGAGCCAGCATCCTGGGCACGTGCCCCGACGAGGAATTGAACCCTGACCTCCAGGTTCATAGGTCGATGCTCAACCACGGAGCCACGCCGAGGTCCTTGGTGTGTGTGTGTGTGTGTGTGTGTGTGAGTGCGGCAGGGGGTGGGTCTCAGCCTCCGCTCCCTGGAGACCAGCCTGCCAGCCTGGGGACTAGCTCGCCCCCTGCGGCTGTGTGCGGGGAAGGCATCAGCCAGGCGTGGCCCTGGCGCAGGCTGCTTGGGGGTCTCGTCACTGGGCGCAGCTCACCGGCCGCGTCTCCGTTCCAGGGGAGGCCAGCGCCTCCACCATGTGGGACAACAACGCCTGGACCTTCTTCTACGACAACAGCACGGACGGTGAGCCGCCCTTCCTGACCCAGGACTTCATCCACGCCTTCCAGCCGGACGCCAGGCTCATCGTCATGCTCAGGGACCCCGTGGAGAGGTGAGCGCTTTGCTGTTAGGATTTTTAATTGTACGGATCTCAGAGAGAAAGGGAGAGGGAGGGAGGGAGAGAGGCGTCCATGATGAGAGAGAACCACCAGTCGGCCGCCTCCTGCACACCCCTCGCTGGGGATCGAGCCTGCAACCCAGGCCTGTGCCCTGACCGGGAATCGAGCCCTGACCTGGCTCATAGGTCGACGCTTGACCAGTGAG